CACCACCTGATGTCCTCAATAATAGATCTCAAATTCCACAGCGCTTCACAAGTCCCCCGAACAGCATCAATAATTAACTTAGAATCTCCTTTCACCATCACATGCGTCAAATTTCTCCTTTTAGCTCAGATCAAAGCCTTGCGTAATGCAAGAGCTTCATCAACGTTGATGGTGGAAGACCCCCAAGTTTATAGCCGCGACAATGATATGGCTGCAATGCATGTTCCTCATGACAAAACCTCCAGCAGCCATCGAGTTGGACACCGACCCATCGAAGTTGATTTTTACAGAAGGTGACACGGGGCAATTCCACTTAATCAAATACTTGAAGCTGGCATTTTTGCTGTGCCTAGAATACTTATATTTTCCTTAAGAATAATGATTAACAGTAGGCATTGCACGAATAAAAGATCTACTGTGAATAGGCTTTTCATTTCTGAAAATAATATCATTCATATCATTCCATATTTGCCAACATATTGCCAGAGCTTTACTCATTCACTTGAATTTGTGGTTTTAATATTAAGATTTTAGAAGTCGTCATATAGGATAGGGAAGCAAATTGGTTTTTATATTACACTAATGGGGTGGGGAAACAAATTGGTTTTAGAAACTATCCACGAGATTCGAGTCTAAGACCTCTTATTTATTAGTGAAGAGAAATACTACTATACCATAATATTAAGTGATGAAAATGAGCTACTTATTAGTTTGGGACAACTTTCTCATGTTTAATTCACTTGAGGAAAAAAGAAAAAAAATCAAATTTTAGAATTCAAGAACATTCTTCATGTCCTTATCAAATGACCTAAATTTAAAACAAAATTGTATTTAAAAATTATCTATATCAAATTTTAGGGAACCGGATCCCCTTCAGATCCAAATAAATTGAGCCTCCTGAGCAAAGGATCCGGGCTGTTGAAATTTGATCCAACGGCTACAAACAGGCCCCCTAAAAGTTATAATAATTGTAGCCCTTTAATCAAATTTTAATGGTCCAGATTATTTGATACTTAAGCTTAGTTTATTTGGGTCTGAAGGGGATCCGGTTCCAAATTTTAGAGACAAAATGAGGCCTACAAGTACTGAATAGAATGTTTGAAGGTCCCAATCTATGACACATGATAAATGATAATACGGCAATGCCCTTGCTAACAAAACTACTCAGTGCCATGTCTTGTGGATTGTGAATTTTCTAATGTCAGTATATTTTTTTACCTTTTTATTTTTAAAAAGGATACCAGCTGGTGACTCCATCACAGTAGTTCATTATTTTGAGGGATCGAGAAGACTTATAAAGATATTTCAGCCTCGTTCTAAGCACTATTATGTGGTTCACTAACATAAAAAATCGAATTCAAGATGTACAATATTAAATACGAGTCTGGAATTTGCTTTCAATCGCTAAGCCACCTCGTGGTGGTTGATGAGCATTAATTAATTTAAGAGTTGACCAACATTACAAATATTATTATGCCAAATATTATTAAAATTGACAAAGAACAATGATTTTGACCTTTACTGCAATAATAATATTGTAGTGCAGTTCATGGAAAAAAAAAAAAAAAGACTTAATTAGATTAATAGTCTACGTCGTGATAGGGTAGTTGGAAGATAACTCATGTGATAAAAGAAAAACTAGAATTTAAGCTCATGTGGTAAAATCTATTAGGATTTATGCCCAAAATTGAAAATTCTGTCAAAATTCTGTTAATTATTATTAACACATGAGCCAGGGCCACGTGTTAACAATTAGCGGAGATGTTTGTTTTAACCTAATATGTGTATGAAGAGTTCCGTTTTAGCTTAATATGTGCGGCTCACGTGTAATAATTAACAGAAAATTGACGAAATTTTCAATGGGCATAAATCCTAACAAACTTTACCATTGGAGCCTAAATCCTAGTTTTTTCACCATATGGGCTATCTTCCAACTATCATGGGGCTTTAATCCAACTAGGCCAAAAAAAATTTACTACCACGTATGGTAGACCTATAGTTTTATAGGGTGAGTGGGAAGTGATTTCCTCATATGCACTCACTAGCAGAGCCAATGTAGGGGCATTGGGTTCCCTTGGCCCCAATAACTTCGTGAATTTTTCCCTTTAAATTTTTTTTGACGAACAATACTTAGCTACTCAAATATGAGTAGGAGCTCCTACTCAGAACTCTTATTGTTTAAATCACAGAGTTTATGTTTATTATCAGAACCGTTCATATTATGAATTACACTGTAAAGATCATCTCTGCAAAAAATAAATTAAAACTAAAGTTGTTTAGTTAATATATTATAGCAAACACTTAGACGGTTTGTAATGCTTTTATTAATACCATTCATTTGTTCTTAAACAGTTTGATGACTAAACGATATTAGTTTTAATTGATTTTTTGCAGACACTATCTTTATAGGGTGATTTATAATATGAACGGTTTTAAATATAAACGCAAATGTTTTGTGAATTGACAATGAACAATTTTGAGAAATTTTGAGTAGGAGTTTCTACTCATCTTTGAGTAGCCAAGTATTGTTCTTTTTGGACCCCTATAATAACACTACAGTAGCAGCATCTTTATAGAGTGATTTATAACATGAACGATTTTGAATATAAACACGAATGTTTTGTAAATTGACAATGAACAATTTTGAGAAATTTTGAGTAAGAGTTCCTACTCATCTTTGAGTAGCCAAATATTGTTCTTTTCTGACCCCTATAATAGCACTACATCAACATCATCTTTATAGGGTGATTTATATCATGAGTGATTTTGAATATAAACACGAATGTTCTGTAAATTGACAATGAACAATTTTGAGAAATTTTGAGTAGGAGATCCTACTCATTTTTGAGTAGTCAAATATTGTTCTTTTTTGACCCCTATAAGATCATCTCCAAAGGAGATGTCAAATTTTAAACATCAAAATGATAGTTGATAGCTTATGTAGCAATTTGACATTTTATACAATATTTTACTCCACCCGATATATTAAATAATAATGTTATTTAATAAACTTTTTTATCTTTTTGTGGAGTCCAATGATTAAGGCAACCAATCAAATATTTAAAAAACATAACAACATTTATTATATATTATATTAATCTATTAAAATATCATTTAATAAATTTGACATATGCTGTCAAATTTGACAGCAAAATGCTTTGCCTCCAAATGACTCAGCGCCATCTAAGAAATTGAAGGCTCAGTTGGAGAGAGTTTGCTGCCATTTTTTACTGTTGTATACTTACGTGACAATTTTGACATCTCCTTTGAAGATGCTTTAATAGCATTACCGCAGCAGCACTGCAACATCACTAGTAACAGAACGTTGCTATTGTAATGTTGGTTGCGTGGGCCACAATGGCCAACAAATATTGACCCAAGTTGGGTCACCCAACATGGAACATGTGAGCCCAGTGACTTAATTTGGTGTACTTGCTAGTAAAATTAGTATTGATTTTACTTGTTGCACCTATTTCAGTTGAAAGAGCTTTTTCGGTGGTGAAAATTGTGAAGAATCCATAACGTAATATGATGGGTGATCAATGGTTGAATGATAATTTGGTTGTGTACATTAAGAAAGAGATATTTGATTTTATTGATAATGATGTTGTAATACAACGTTTCCAAAATATGAGAACACATCGTGGATAATTATAAATGAAATTATGATAGATTTTTGAAAGTTATTTTTTATCCCTATTGTCTTAAATTCCTAGCTTCGCCATTAGATACACTACTAAATATTTTTGTAGTTTGAATTGAATAAATTAAGAGACAAATAAATACGAGTATACAGAAGAATAAAATAAGTGTGCGGCAATCTTTCATTTCTGAGGTATTAATTTAACATTTTGTCAATTATTTGAACGTTAATGTCTGATATTTCGTAAGGGTGTCAACATCAATCCAATGACATCTAAAGCTTGTAGATTGACAGTCTCACTTTAACTTATAACACTCCGGTCGACTGCTTCATAATTTATCTAGACTCATTGTGGAAATGTCGAAAGCTGAATTAAAAGTATGAAAATCACTGCTCTTATTAATACCTCAAAAGAATTTTAACTTTCTCAAAGATGGGAGGAAGATTATTTCCAGTCGAAGCAAGTGACGATGCGCACCCAAAAATATGACTGACCAACTAACCAGCATATGGGATGAAGATTTTTAAGGGTGGCCGATTCCTTTCAACGGATTTATATAAAGTTCGTAAACTAACGTCGGTACTATGGAAATCTTGATTAACCTTAAACGCATTAAAAAATGATAAAATTTGTAAACTAATGTACTAAAGATATAAATCTTGGTAGAAGTAATTTAAAATCAAATTTCAATTTGTGAACTAATCAAAATCAAATATTGACACATTGTATCGATCGAGTATATCGACGTCTTACTAAAAAATAATAATTTTAACAACAATAAGCTGAGATTATATCATTTCAGCCAAAGACCTAAAATGAAACCCTTACTAAATTGTTTGATAAAAAATTATTATACATTGTTTGTTTTTTTGTTTTCTATCAATTAATCAATGGGCGAATGATTTTTGGCATATTTTCATTTTGTATAAAGGTTTTTACATCATCTTTATACAAATTAAAGATAATGTTATTCACATATCCTTTTTAACTTTCACACACCTTTAGTAGTTTTAACACATTAATTTTTTTTTAGTTCATTCAATTGATGGCCAAAAATTGTGAAGAGTATACGAGGTAAAGGATTGGATCGCTTCGGACCTTAGTGTCTGGAGCTTAAGAATTAATTCATCTGGACCGTTGAATGATGTGTAGAAGAAATTAGAGCTTTTGGTTTGTGTGTGATGGGCCATCGAAATGAGTTGATGGAGACCGTTGAATTCGATATGTACGGCTCAGATAAGTTGATCTTTAAACTTCGAACACTAAAAGTCGGAGCAGATTCAATTCCCGAGGTAAAATGGTTGTGTAGCACCACCCAAAACAAAGCAAATGCCAACCAAAACAGCAGAAAAGCACCAAAAACAAAAGCAAACAGAGCGCGAGAGAGAGAGCAGTCCCAGTGAAAGCTGAAGCTAGAATCTCTCTTTCCTCGAACACTTAACTCGCAGTCGAAAATACAACATATATACAACACACATATATATACCGCACGCTGCACAGTGTTTCCGCCAAACTCTGCAAATGCATTAAATGCCGGCTCCACTTTCACTTCCACTTCCTCCATTTTTTATCAGCTTCCTCTCGTTGTATCTCTCTGTCTGTGTTTTCTTGTCTCTTTGTCTCGCCACCACTATACCAAATTCAAATTCCTGATTGCTTTCAAAGGTTCCAACCCTCTCAGACTCCCTCTCCGATCCGATTTGCTCCGCCATTTCTAAAACCCACCATTTTTTTTCAGCTGTTTTCTCACTGATCTCAGCAGCAAATCCGCCACTGGAGCTCAGAGAGCTCCGTTTAGCAGATTTTGGCGACAACCCTGAACCCAAAAGCTTTCAAATTTCTCAGAAAGCGGCGGAAGTGAGCTGAGAACGAAGGAAGCAATGGAGGGTAGGATGAAGAAGTACAGCCAAGTGAGTCCGGAGAGGGCGAAAGTGTGGACTGAGAAGTCGCCCAAGTACCATCAGAACCGAAAAGTCCCGGTGGTTTACTATCTCTCAAGAAACCGGCAGCTTGAACACCCCCATTTCATGGAGGTTCCTGTAACCTCTCCCCAAGGGCTCTACCTCAAAGGTATTGAAAATTCAAATAGTAAAAACATGAATTTCTGGGGTTTTTCTTAGTGGGGTATTTTTTATTTGTTTATTTTTTTTCTGAATTTGTTGAGGATTTATTTGTGAATTTCAATTTGTTTGGTGCAGATGTGATTAATAGGCTTAATTCTCTGAGGGGCAGAGGCATGGCTTCCATGTATTCATGGTCTTCTAAGAGGTGAATTTTAGTCCCTTTTCTAAAATCCCTAAATTTTTAAAATTGCATTTTTTTAAGACAGTTTTGTAATTGCATTGGTTTGATTGAATGAGTGCAGAAACTATAAAGGTGGTTATGTTTGGCATGATCTCTCTGAAGGTGATCTGATTCCTCCGGCTCATGGAAATGAGTACGTCCTTAAAGGTTCTGAGCTCTTTGATGAATCGAATTCGGGTAAATGGCATACATGATTCATTTTCTCATTGTTTGGTTGATAGGAATTCAAGTTACTGATTTCAAACTGGCCATTTATTTTCTCATTCAGTATTCACCATAATTTTCGATTCCATAGCTAAGAAGTTTAAGATCCTAATGTAGATACTTTGTTTATTCATCTGTTGTTTCTGTCCAGATCGGTTTAGCCCAGTGGCAGAAATTAAAATCCAGAACTTGAAACAATTACCAGAACCAGCATCTTCTAGGAGCCAAGATGATTCTTCATCGTCGTCAAGTTTGAATGGGAAGGAAACAAAGCATTCTCAAGAAGATGAGCTCTCTCCTCCAGTTCAACGTCCCGAAGGCTCTTCTAGCGCTTCTCCAGAGTCTACAGTCGGAAAGAATTCTACTTGGGGGGGTTCACTGAGCTTGACAGATTACAAGATTTACAAGAGTGACGGTTTAGCTGATGCTTCCACGCAGACTGAAGAAAATGGGAACAAACCTAAAGCATCAGAAACTTGTACAAGAGGTGTTTCCACAGATGGTGGGTCATTAGAATCGGATTCCAGTTATTATCATGATCGAGTGCCGTGTGTGAAAGAGAACTCTGAGATTCGCAGTTATTCAGTTTCTCCTCCTCTGTCATCCCCCAGCCCATCTTCGTCAGGTGGGAAGACTGAAACTTTGGAATCACTTATTAGGGCTGATGTTAGTAAACTCAACAGTTTTAGAATAGCTGAAGAGGAAGACGTTCGAATGCAAAACAATCCAAGGGTTAAGGCTACCAATGCACTTATGCAACTTATATCATGTGGTTCAATATCAGTGAAGGATCACAATTTTGGTCTTATTCCAAGCTACAAGCCCCGGTATTGCCATTCGAATTTCCACTCCCCATTATTCTCTACTAAAGTAATGCTAGGAGAGCTAGACTGCCTTTCAGAGAATCCAAGGCTCATGGATTTGAGATTGGAAGATAAAGAATATTTTAGTGGGAGCTTGATTGAGACTAAAATGCTCAAGGAGGAAGATGGACGTACAGCTCTAAAACGATCATTATCATACAATGCTGACAGGTTAACCTAGTTTCTAAACTTATCCTTCAATTCTTTTAGAATTTAGACAGCTTTTGCATTAAAGCACAAGTATGTGAGGGTCATCTCGTAGCATGTTTTAGTAAGGTCTTACCAAATTTTAGTCAAAAGCATACGTAGGATGATAAAATTGAGGTGCAGGGGGTTTATGTGGAATGGTGAAAGCCAGGGATTCTATCCGAGTTTTGAAGTTTCTTACAACCTACAAGAATTAAGATTCTTAATTCTTAAATCCGATTAATCAGTTGTAGAATTTGAATGCTAGAAAATGGAACCTTACCGATGAAGATTCCTGAGTCTAGTGCGGTTAAACATTCCAAATTTTGTTAGAAGTTGATCAACTTGAGCTTGGGTCCCTTGGATGCTTTTTCATTCTTGGCGACGCAAGTGCATTTTGAACTCAAAAGGTTTGGTTGCTTAGCAAGTTTAAGCTTTATCAAGACCATGATTGATTCAGTTAGGCTTCTGAACATCTCAGTTAGGCTGGTTCAAGCAATTGGAATGTTGAATCGTTTTAGGTGTGATGTCTGAGTTAGGCAGGGACAATACCTGTTAGATGGTAACTCATAAGTAATTTATAAAAATGGTACAAAAGAATGTTGAATTGTTTTAGGTGTGATGTCTCAAATTCCTAAGTTAGCTCGGTCAATTACAGGGTTTGTATTTAATAACTTTTTCGGGTTTACTAGGGTAGAAAGCAATGCCTTTCTTTGTTAAGAATTTAGCTGTGGTAATATTACAAATGTGCAACTCTTATAAAAGTTTGACACTAAAATAAAAAATCATGTCAAATCATGAGATTTTGCATTGATCCTGAACAAGTAATGAAGCAGGTTCATTTCTTTCTTTTGATATTATGAGCCGATGCATGTTACATGCTAGCTGAAAACAAATTCAAGGGGCTACATGTCTCAGGTCCACCTAGTGGCCATCTTTGGGAGTTCCTCTCATTTGAGGATAAGTTTGTCGAGTATTCTGGAGTTCTTGTCATAAAAAGTTATGTGGGTACTTATAAGAAAGGATTAGCCTCTGGTTAATTTGTTGATTGAGTTTTAATTGTATCTGGTTGGAACTGTGCGGTCATCAGTTAAATGCTAACCATCCATATTTCTGATACTGCTGTACCAGCATAACTACTTTTTATGGTTCAAATGCTAAACTTGTCAACTTGCAGGAGTTGCAAGAAGCTGGATTCAGAAGGGGACAGAGAGGAGTCTACGTCAGGACGTTTGAAATGCATCCCAATATCAATCAAAGCTTCGCTGAACAAGCAACCGCGAAGCGAATCTATGAGATCCCCCATTTCCGATAAACCAAGGAACTCCTCAGATGGAGTTGATGGTGCACATATCAATACCCACTGCATATCCAATGGAGTTAGTAAAAGAATCGCACACCCTTCATCTCTTAAAAAGAAATCAAAAAGGTTAGATTCATTTAGAGAAGAGAAGGAGAAGGTGATCAAAATCGAAGAAAGTTGAGTGCCGAGTCCTCTCTGTTTTCACCTTGTTCAAATTTATTACTGTAATCCGGTTTTGTTCTTGTCAATGTTGGTTGACATTTTGTTTGTTTTCCTCCAAAACAGGCTTGCTTCAGGAGCTCGGGTTATAATCCAATCCAGAGCACCTTTTGATACCACCGCAGTTGGCAGCTCGTAGACACCAATGCCAAGCAGAAAAGCAAGGGGTAAATTTTCAGGTGGTTTGAATTTCAAATGATGTAAACTTGTTGGCGGGTGAGGTAAAAGGAATTCTTGTTTTTTGTACATCTGAAAAGTCAAAAGAAAGGAGCAATCATTTATTTTGCAAAAGGGGATGGTGTAATATTAGGTGCGGTCCTGGTTGTTGGTGGAGCTAATCCTGAGATATGGAGTTGGGTTTTTGGGTCAGGCAGTTCAAATGGGGTTCCCCATTTCAGTAACTAGGGTTTCAAATTCTTCCTTTTTACTGCCATGAGATGATTTTCAGTCTCTCTCTCTCTCTCTCTCTCTCTCTCTCTCTGTGACATGATGGCTTCATCTAAAACATTCAAATTAAGTCATTCAGTTTGAGCAATGTATTACATACTTGATTGATACTAGAAAAACTCTGGAGGTAAGAGAGCAACTTACATGAAACGAATTTACCGTAAGTATCGTTATTGGGTTTCAAAATCTCGTTGGATACCTTATGTCTTGTTGTAAAGTGGTTGACTCTTAGGCAAAAGGCAATTCTGACTCTCATTTCTCAAATATAAAATGTCACTCAAAAGGTCAAAGCAACTTACTTTGGAGTTAGGTAGTAACATTTAGAGAGAGAGAAAGAGAGATTTCACTTTTCCCCTTGTTGCACAGTTCATATAATAATGCCATTGTTCCTTGAAATAGTGGTTTATCATTATTGGGAGTGACAAGATTTCTAAATTATTATATTTCTTGGTTGTCTATGGACTTGGTTTTCTTCTCGTTTGGTGACAAGCTAGATCTCTTCTTTTTAGGCAAAGTAGCTTTAGAGGCAATGGGGCATGGGCTGTAAAAAAAAAGTTCTAAATCTACTCCCATGTGAGATGCTTTTATGTGATGCTTAAAATTTAAGTCCTTTACACCGTCATTGTGGTTTTCCGTGTCGATGTTGCCGCAGCAGGTGTAAGTTTTTTTTTCTTTTTTCATATGACTTCGTATCATACACCCAGCGATAATGCGTGTGTTTTATGTAAATTGTGCTGAATAAAAGGAGCTGCGGGGGATATATGAGCTGTAATGTAAGGGCCCTTTTCCTTTGAAACTTTGATGCTTTTGTCAAGGCAGTGGAAGGCGTGAGGATTGAGAATAATGTTTGGTTTTTCTCTTTATACACCGAGTGCTGGGGTTTTGCTCAAAGCAAAAAGACAAGTAGGGATACAAGGTTGCATTTATAATAAAAGCGGCTCATGAGGCGGTGGGGAGGGAGAGGGGAGAGGGACTGGTCGTGGTTGAAGTGGGTGGTGGTCCTCGTGTGACCTGTCTCAGTATTTTGGATGTTAAGGTGGTGGAGACTGGACTGGACATGGACTATACGGGATTGGACTGGAGAGAATTGCGTTGCGTATCAAGTAGTAAAGTCCTTTGGGGTCCGTTTGGCGGACTGTAAGTGATAGGATATTGTATTTTAGATTGGTTAAGTTAGGATTGGAATGGATAGATTGATAGATAATGTTTGGTATAGACAACTCAAGTTGGATAGCTTGAGATAGCTAAACGCATAATAGCAGCTTTTTTCCTCTAACATCGACCATACAAACATCTCTCTCCTCTGTCTTTTGGGATGTGGGACAACTAGCTTAGCTCAGGGCTAGTCGAGAGATTTTTGAGGTTCGGGACGAAATTAAAAAATATGCCCTCACTTTATATAAAAAAATTATTTGTTTTTACACGTAAGACATTGATAAAATTATATTTAGAAAAGCACTTCAAACTCAGTAATTTTGAAACATGGAAAAACTAATTTATTTTGTATCAAGAGAAGGAAACCAAAAAACTTCAGGCTTACAAGTAGATAGATTATGAGTTTTGTCTTCCATCTGAACTTTTAAAGTGTTTTTGTAAATCGTGAGGTGTTTTTTCTTATTTACTAACCTTGTCAATATAAGACTAAAAACATAATGATATTTTCAAGTCTTTAGGGATATGTATAATTAATGAAAGGGCACCAAATCAAACCTTTGGATGACACGTCATATGATTTGCAAATTTGGTCTAAAAATTTAGTCTATGCAGTACCCTTTGTTGAAGATTAGACTTGAATTGGAACGAATGTTTAAAAATATCAACTCACATAGTTACTAGCTAATAATTAAAAATAAATTAACAACCAAACAAAAATTCGTAAAAAATAAACATGCACATAGCATTTTGAACTTAGGATCTCTCGCTAATTTTAAGTACAAAAACCATTGCTTCTACTTAAACTTCTAATCATTTAGCCAAATTTTGTAAATTTATACTGTTATGAAAAGAAATTTGTAAAAATTTAAATTTAAATAAACACACATAGTGTTTTGAACCCAAAACCTCCTCATTAATTTCAAACAACAAAATCATCTGTTCTTCTAGTTAAATTTCTTTGTCATTAAATCAAATTTTATAAATTTATACTCTTATGAAAACGTATATAAATATGTCACACTAATAATTTTGGTGCCCCTAATTTTTTTGGACCTCGAACCGTCACCCTACCCGCACTGGGCCTGACCCGGCCCTTAGCTAATAGGTAGGCATCGACCCACATCTCTTGCGACCCGCCACGCCCACCATACGACATTGCTTGCAACGTCGTCGGTGTTGCTCGCGACGAGACGAAGAACGCCAGCTAAAACAAAAACGATGAACACCGGCAAATCGAAGAAGCAGATCGCTGCAAAACTGAAAAGAAGATCGAAGGTTTTTCTTATTTGTTACAATTTTTCTAGACAAACATTTGCTGAGTTACGGATCCGATTTGATTGAAAATAACTCATCCCATTATACCTACCAAACGAGCCTTTATGTCCAAGCAGTGACTATGTACAAGCAGTGTGACAGTACGTGTTTAATCTTTGTGTCCAAGCAGAGGCTTTTGGCCCGTCAAGATTTTTCTACCATGCACAACAAAAAAGTGCGAAGTAATTTGTACAAATCAAAAGAGTATCTCCAAGGACTTTTTAATCTTCAACAACACTATTTATTCTAACAAACTTTGAAAACATTAAAATTCAACTTACTCTTTTTTTTAAAAACAACCCTCTCTGCATCGTGAGGGTTTTTGGTCTTGATTCGAGGAACCTCCTGACCTGTTGTTTGATCTTTTTGTGCTTGAATGTAATGGTTGGTTGTTTTGTGAGGGGCTGCTCTGTTGTCCCCTCTTTGTGGTTTGTATTGTAATCAACCTTTTTTTGTATTGAATGAATTTGCTATCGTTGCTCTTAAAAAAAGGCCCACCCTTGAGTTTTATTTATTTTTTTAATATTCAGCTGATGAACAGTTGCTCTGTAAAATTAAAGAGTGACTGTTCATTATACTATAATAGAGACTCTTTCATAGAGTCTGTTGGAGATGTGTTTTTTTAGATTGGCTCTTTAAAATAGTGTTTGAGTTGTTTTACACACTTCTGACAAGTAGTAAATTGCCCTAGTGGTCAAGACATTTCTTTTCAACTTGCTGCATCTCAAATTTAAACCCTCCCCCCTCTCATTCTAGTGTAGAAATATCGCTTGTACTATAAAAAATCTTAAAACACTTTTTACTTAATGAGACCTCCTCATTCAATTATGCAGTTTTGTTGTGCATTAGAGAAAGATTCATCCCCGTAGCCAGTGCTCTAGAAAGAGGAAGAGAGATATCCTAGTTATAGCTAACATTCCGTTAGGAACACCAAACTGGGTTTCATTTGGCGGGTTGGCATGGACTAAAGTTTGTATTTTGAATTGGTTAGGCGAGGAGAGGTGACAAGTTGAGTGATGACTAACATCGAGATACTTGTCTGGTGTTCGGTGTAGACAACTGGATAACTTCTTAAGCACCTCACACGCACCCACTCCTCTCAACGAAACCACTCATCCTCTCCCGAGTGCACCATTAAGCCAACATCCCGGTCAATCGATGAATCCCCCTCATAACGCCCACGACTCATAAAACCCTCACAACCCACATTTTGAAAACTTAGTGTTGATCGAGTTTTCGAGTCCAATTTGACTTTCGGTTGCAAATGTTGTATCAAGGTAGTTTGGTTGCGATTCGGATCCTAGAAACTAGTGACGCTATTCGAGTCTTTACCACGAAGGTCGAAAACAACAGCATTCGCAGGTGGCAGAGCTGGTTGGAAAATTTAATACTATTATCGTATTAAATTTATTAATTAAATAGAAATTAGAAATGATGCATTCTGATGAAAAGATGTGCCTATCTTAATTAAAATGAATTACAACTTTTAACGTTTCATGAATAGTTATATGTTTTTCAAAGAAACATCTCAACTTCTATAAATAGGGAAAACCCTATAGTAATTAAAGAACTTTTCATTGTTTACACTAGCATTTGCCTACACATTTTGTGTGTATGAACACATTTTTTTAGAAAAATAGGAAGGAGAGAGGGAGAGAGAGAACGTGACGGAAGTGACAGGTTTTTTTTTTTATTTAAAATTTTAAATTTTAAATATTAAAGATATTTTAACTTCATTACTAGGTGATGCTTCAATAAAAAACAGTAAAATTTAGACATTTGAAATTACAATATTGCCCATCATTTTTTTATGTGATAGAAGACTAAATAGTCTTTTCACCCTCTTTTGGTTGACAAAGAGGGTTTCATTAATGTTGTTTTAGATAATCATATATAGAGTGCACTAAACATTAGAGAGTCTCATTGAGTTCATATGAGAGAGTTATAACACAATGGTGGTTTATTGGAGTCTTGTGATTTGAAGTGCTGCTATTATAAGGACATGGTTGTTGTATCCTAAGAGACAAGCGCCAATCAACCATAATTACTGTAATGGGATGTAAACTTATCTTAAGGACGTAATATCTAATATTTGCCTCAACCAATTTTCAAGTTTTTCTAATCATGTGCATTTAACATTATTTGTTCTTGTTCTGTGCATTAAATTGTTTATGTAATTGCATAAATTATTTTTTGATTTTCAATGTGATTTTATATAGCAATTTGACTCTATTTGTCCAACAATCTTAAGACAAGTTTACATGGTTTATTTAGTATACTTTATGATTGAATAAAAACATGAAAATCGATATTTTTAAGTTGATTAAAAGGGGACGTTTGCGTCCTGGGAATTTTGCTTAAATTGATTCATTTTTCAAGTTGTTAAGATCTTCATCTTGCTATGCACATATATTTCTCTCTTGCTTCATTTTATTGACATGGCTTTGAGAGAGATGGTATGTTAGATAAAAATATATGATACTTATTGTCGACTTTGTTTATGCTCATTTCAAATTGAACTACATAGTTTCTGAATGACCACACGTGACTGTGTTGAAAGTTGAAACTACAAAGTTTGTTTCCTGTAAGCAAGTAATTTACAAATGCACACAAACAACAACAATAAAGTCTTTTCCCATTAAGTGGGGTCGGCTGTATGAATCCTATAACGCCATTCCGCTCGATTCTGTGCC